GAAACTAGTTTAGGTTAGTAGTTTATGTTTATGTTTATGTTTAGTTTTAGTTTTCTGCTTAGTGTAAGTTCATTTTCTGAAACGTTTCGGGAAGTCAAAAGAGTTTCTGGTCACAACACTGATTGACACATGATTCACCCTACCCTTAAATGGATCAATTCCCATATGAAATTTTAGTTGAGATCTTTAAACGTATTAGACATCCAGTGTCTTTTGCAATAACAAATAAATTATTTCTGAAGACTCTTACGCGCGATGCAATTGGTTACTATATCATTATGGAAAAGCGCATGCCTTTTTCATGCAATCTCCCTTGGACCGAAATTCATTACAGTTGAATCAGTAAAAAGTGCCTTGATCAATGATGCAATATTGTCTCGGTATTTTCTTCAAAAACTTATTCAATGTTTTGGAACTTATGATCCGAGATTATTGTAACTTAGAATTAATGGTAATAATATTAATACAAGTAATACTGGTAGTAATCCTAATAATGATGATAATAACAATTTACAAAGACATCTTAGAAAATTGTGGGCCATTAATTTACCAATAGATATCTACTCTGAATTGTTGATGGAAGGAAGTCATAGATGGAAAGGGCCGGATTTTTGTTTAAGAAGCAATGGTCTCGAATTGTTCTGTTATTTAACAGGTGGAAATCTTGCAATTAAAATCGCAGAAAAGGTATTAAATAAAAATTTAAAAGCGATTGAAGGTTTGATCTTAGAAAAAAGATTCGTTCTGAATCCAAGAAAACCTAAAATGTCATATAAAAATATTATTGATTTTAACAAAAAACAATCTCAATTACCATCTACATTGTCATTTGAACAACTTTTAAAAGGGGTTGGTTTAATATCTGATAGATTCGAAAATGGCAATGCATCATACAAAATTTCCAGAGCAATTATTATCTGCCCACATTTAGTGACCTTGTGGAAAAGAATTGGTTATAATTTAATAAGTTTCGATTTTAATGATTTGGTGTTACGAGGGAGCTTCCTTATTTTGTTCCCGCTCAATGCTTTTGTCGAAACTGCAGAACATTCTACATTAGAACATCTAAAGATTTTTTCGTTTGATTTGAACATTTATCAATGGATTTTGAAAAAACTTGGACCTTCTTCGATTGTCACTTTCAAATGTTTCAACGAAATTTTATCAACTAAATCTTATTTTGATAATCAGAGCAATAGCAATAGTAA